TTTCTCTACAGGTTGCATGGAAAGGATTTGTTTTGAGTGTTGTGAGATTTGATATAGAGGGCCGAGTGTTGTGAGAATATATATTGTGTGTTTGTGCAAATATATAGTCACTGATGTGTATTTTCTACTGTTGTATAGGTGGCACTTCTGGAAAGTAAGTAACTGTCTATCTTCGACAGGGTCTTCTAAATTCTGGACGATGGCAGCAAGGAGGGATGGCTGTTTTAGACACCTCAAGCGTGAAGAAAGTTTTTATTTAAATTGTATATATCCGTTGAATCCGATATACTATGGTACTATTGTTTGGGTGGAGATTTCGAAATTCTTTGTTGGCCTACCCTTACGGGCTATGTAAGGGATAGTCCCTTTTTTGTCTCCCTTTTGTATCAGTTTTGTGCTTATGGAATGCGTTCATGGTCCACATATAGTTTGTATGGGGAGTTTCAACATATTTAAGGTATCAAATCTGTTGTGTATGAGTTTATCTACCTACCTGTGATTTCGTTCTTAGTTATTTAATTGTTTGGTTTTTTCTTTTCCATCCAGTTAATAGCTTTGGATTTTCCAGGTTCTTTTTTCTTGGTTTTGTTTGTGAGCTGTTCTTGTCTCATCTTGTTCTCTGTTGGCCTGTCTCTTTAGACTATTTTTGGCTGGTTATTCTTGTTTGGTTTGTTGGGGTTAGGGCCTAGGGCATGCCCCTTGTATTTGTGTATATTTTCTGTTTTTAATTTATGACTTATTCACCAAAAAAAGAAAAAAAAAGAAATATACAATAAACTATAGAACTAAAAAAAAAAAAAACACAAGAATGAACTAGATTACACCATGGAACATATTACAAGATGGATTCAAATGGACATATAAAATAATATACAAGAAATTATTTAAATTTAAAACTTTGACGAATGAAAGATAAAGGAAGTAAACCGAAGCTTGTGTGATATTATAGTTTCCTTAAAATAGATTCATCACCTCCCGATGGGTGCTGGAAGTACGTCGGCGTCTGTTTCCCAGGATACGACGGTCAAAACTAGCTAATGTAGAAGCACCTTCTGAATAGCTTCAGCAAACTTGACAATGGCTGCAGTCTTTCTGACAAGAACCAAAGAAGGGTCCAGTAAAAGAAGATAGGAAAAAAATTTCTTTGGGAAAAAAAAAAAAAACATCTCCAAATTTTTATCTCAAAACACCATCTCCATTTTCCATAAAAAAAAATCTCTCCAAAAAAAACAAGTTGGAGGGAAAAGACCTCTATTTATACAAGTAGGGGAATCTCTAGCTATGAAGGCTATACATCAATAGGGCCATCAAATGCCATTAACCAAGGCCATCAACTCTAGCCATTAGGGCTAGAGTTAGGTTGAAAACCTATGGTCACTAATATGGTCATCAACTCCATCATAAAAAAATGAGACTTACAAAGGTCTAAACGTCCCATGTGCTTAATATATACAAATAAATATGTATATAATGATGTTTGAATAAACCAACTAGATGGGTCACAAAAATGGATACTAATGTTGGGTCACAACCCAATCCAAATCCAATTCTCAAACACTTGCACAAGCTAAGCCTAACACAACATAGCTTAGACTAACCTTAAGATTAAGTCCAAGTCTAAGTCCAAGACCAAACCCGACACATGCACAGGCACGAGCACAAGTTTAGGCCCAGTCCAAACTAAGACTAAGTCTAAATCTAAGCCCAACTTTATTGATGCCCACTTTATGAGTCAATTCTCATCCATAACTCAATGGTTTCGGCTCATTATTTTTGCATAGCAATCTTCTCAGTTAAGAGAATACAAAACCACTTAGACCCACCTCAACCGGTGGTTGGGTCCCACTTTAATTTTGAATTAAAGTTGTCAAAAAACCATTATTTTCCAACAGTTATCGCCTTGTTTACGACCATTTTCGACAAACTTCCTCTCCTTGTTATGTGGTTTGGGCACTTATTCCACTACATTAGCCTTAGACTCAATGGGATTTTTATTATTCCTCTTTTCAGCATTTTGGTTATCTTCTTCAATCCTTAATCGGACAATAAGTTCTTCCAATGTCATCTTTTTGCATTTATGCTTAAGGTAGTTCTTGAAATCTTTCTAAGCAGGCAGTAATTTTTCCACAATTGCAGCAACTTGGAAAGATTCGCTGAGAGACATACCTTCAGCAAGAATATCATGCAAGATGAGTTGGAGGCTTTGCACTTGGCTAATAACGATTTTAGAATCAATCATGACAAAATACAGAAATTTTCTAAAAACAAATTTCTTCGTGCCGTCATCCTCTGTGTTGTATTTTTTCTCTAAAAAATCTCACATTTCTTTTGCTATTTTTAGAGGGCTATAAACATTAGACAACATATTGCCTAGGCCATTGAGGATGTAATTCTTGCAAAGAAAATCAGAATGCTTCCAAGCATCCATCGCGGCAACAACTTGCTGATCACTTTCATCCTCTTTAAGTATTGGAGCATCTTCATGGAGAAACTGGACAAGATTAAGAGTTGTCAGATAGAACATCTTTTTCTACTGCCATCTCTTAAACTCTGTACCATTAAATTTTTCCGGTTTTTCTCTATGATTCATAGGAATTTGAACAGGGTTTTGCATAACGGCCGGTGTTGGTGTAACAACCGGATTGGAGGTACTAGTTTCAGTAGCCATCAAATATGATTACAAAAAAAAAAAAAAAAAAAAAAATAGAAGTAATACAATTTTCTTGTTACAAAAACTAGAAAAGAAAATCAGAATTTTGAATACAATGAAGAAACAAAGTTTGGCTTAAGACTGTTAAATAATCTTCACTGTATTCGAAGAATAGATTAAGGAAGAAGAAAGTTTGTCTGATTACTTAAATCAAAACAGAATATAGAAAATAAAATATGGAAAAAACAGATTCTTATTTTGTTACAAAACAAAACAGAATCTAAAAAACAACATGAAAAAAAAAATGAAACCAAAAATGAATATTATAAACAAACTAGTAACAGTATTACTTTCTGGAAATTCAATCAAGTCTAGTGTTCAACATTGTCTCCTTAAGATAGATATGTCCTCTCTACGTGTGCTTTTATAGTGTGGACATCCATCTCCCAGGATAAAATGATTAATGACAATTAACAGCAGCATTACAAACTAAATCTCTAATGAACACACTTTGTGTTTATACTCTTTCTCACAGAAAATAAATGCAGCAAAATGCAAGAAGAAGAAGCAGAAGCTGAAGCAGAAGCAGAAGGACTACTGAAAATTAATTGAAAAACCAAATGGAGGACTTGTTTATTTATAGGAGAATTGGTGGCTATTCAGGATAGATTTGAACATGCAAAGAACTTGTTCGGAACAGACTTGAACCTGTTCGGATTGGAGGGAAAACGTTGAAAAGGTGCAATGGACCAAACTGCCAACGTTCAGAAATGTTGGGGTCAATTCGAAATTTATTTTGAATTTCAAACAAAACTTCAAATTCCAAATGATAAGAATTTAATTTTAGAAAAAATAGAATTCAAATGCTTTTTTCAAAACCTGAGTGCCCCTTGGGGCCTACCCCAAAGTCCAATCTCAAGGCTTATAAACCCATACAATATTATCCTAGCCAACCAATGTGGGACAAGCTTTCCTTCCTTCAATTTGTGAAACCCACCAAAACACCATTTTCATGGAGCTTACTTTGGAATCAATTTCCCACTCACCTGATAATGGTTTTGAATAACCAAATATACTACGTGAATCACAACTCGACATAGAACGCGTTGCCACCAATACCCGCCATAACCAGTACTTGGGTCCTATTTATATTGTAGCCCAAAGTTGACTAAAATTCTGGTTTTGTGCAGAATTTTCTTAACCATTTCTAACACCAATTTTTATAGAACCGTAGATAACGAATTTGTTCTAGTTTTACACCATATCGAACCAATTCAGACCATACTCACCCCTAGATAGAAAGACTAGAAAAAAAATGTATTTTAGGAATATTTTTGTAGCTCAAAAAATTCTACAACATGATTTCAAACTTTGACATAGTTATTTCAAATGCATAATGATAAAACTTTTTACTATAATTTTAAAATACATAGATAAGCTATCATATTTAAATTTGAACTATTTTTATTGCTTTCTCCTAAAATGATGATGTCGAATCTATACATTTCAAATTCATAAATACAATTGTAGTTTTAATTGTGCTCGGATCATGAATTTAGATAAAGATTTGATTTTTTTTTTTTTCAAATTTCTATCAAAATTCTTGATCTCATGTCAAAATGTTAGAATTGAAGAAAAAAAAATTGTAAATATAATTCAAAATATAAATCAATATAAATTTAATCCTCAGCACTAAACTTGAGCTCTAAAGCCAGCTCTAACGAGCTGGCAGTGAAGGAAAAATAATAAAAAAAAAGGCCAAAACATCACATCAGTGGGTGGGACCCACCTATTAGAGCTTCCTTAGAGCTCCTAATTTAGAGCTCTTAAACATTTTTCATTTTATCCCAGTCATTCTAAAACAATTGATTAGATGCAATTTTTTGAAAAAGTAGAGAGAAGTTGGTCATTCACAGTGGAATAGATAAAGTCTCCTCATAAAAGAAGAGTGCTGCTATTAGCACTTGCCAAAATTCTTTGGACCCCCCAATTTATAATTTTTTTTTATTATAATTATACCTTAAAGTAAAATTACATTAAAAGACATTATTAAATGGAACACCCACTTATCAAATAAGAACTAATACTCCATAATATTGGACACCCACTCCCACCCCTATCCCCACACCCACCTCCACCTCCAACTCCAACTATACATATTCCATGTTTGTAAACACTAAACCTATTACTCTTCATAACCAGCCAACATTAACCCTAAATCTATTTATTTTTCATAATCATCTTAAACCCTGAATGTGTCATCTTCATTACCATCATCAACACTATTGAACTAGAAAGCTTTGCTTCAAGTATAACGTATACTTCATCACATATTTCACCATGTAGCGCAATGGAGGACAAGGACAACAATTCTAATGAGACCGGCGTTCCATTGGTAAGTTTATCTTTCTTCCAATAAAATTTTTGGTCGTTTTCAGTCATTCTTCTTTTGTTTGAGCTGTTTAGTACTGGTTTGTCGACTATTAGAATTATGTTGAGTAATACAGTACTGAACATAATCATTTTGTTCAATACATAGGTTCTGACCATTAATGTAGATAGTCAGTACTGTTGAGCCAAATATAATCTTTATTTTCGGCACTGTTGAACTAAACAAAACCATTAGTTTCAGGACTGTTCAACCGAACATCATTTTTCAATTTTGAAATTACATTCACATGTGTTTTCAGGGTGATGCTTTGATTAGAGGCAATAAGGTTGATTTAGAACTTGTAATTGATTATACTAATGAATTTGTCACTCATGAGGTGAGTCTTTGATTGTTTTATAAATAATGTACAATTTTGTCCTTTTTTATGTGCAATAATTGGTTAGCTTAATTTATTTATTTCAGATATTCAAGAGTTGAGATGAGTTAATTCGATGGGCAGGCCAAGTTGGAAGAATAAATGGATTCGTTATTGTCGTGTAGAAATCAGATGGGGGTGGTATTCGTGGTAGGAAGCCAAAACTTAGCCTAGCTTATAAGAGGAGTGGATCTTATAGGGACACTCGAAAAAACAATAGGCCTAATACAAAAAAAGCAAGATCGACTGGTACCAAAAAAAAATGTGAATGCCCTTTTTTATTGAAAGAAAAAAAAATTAGCCACAAATGATGACTGGATCTTGATGGTTGTCTGTGGTGTGCATAATCATCATACTACAGAATATCTTGAGGGTCATTCTTATGCTGGAAGGTTGTCACATGAGGAAACCTACTTGTTCGTAGACATGTCGAAGAGTATGGTACGACCGAGTGAGATATTGGTTACATTGAAACAACGTGATGATGCAAATGCTTCCACAATGAAGACAAGTTACAATGCATGTCATAGGTATAAAGTTGCAAAGAAAGCTAGGAGATCTCAAATGCAACAACTATTAGGTCAATTAGCGGTGAACAAGTACATTGAGTGGCATAGGAGTTGTGCATATACTGAGACAGTGACTGATTTGTTCTTTGCACATCCTACTAGTTTTAATTTGTTACATGCATTTCCAAAAGTACTGTTGATGGATTGTACTTATAAGGCCAATCGATATCAGTTGCCCCTTTTGGAGATTGTAGGTATGACATCGACATACATGACCTTTTCAGTTGCATTTGCATACCTCCAGTATGAAAAGGAAGATAACTACGCATGGGCACTTGGTATTTTACGTGGTGTTATGGATGAAAATACTCTTCCTTTTGTTATTTTGACAAATAGAGAATTGACCCTTATGAATGCCTTATGTACAATGTTTCCTGTAACTACAAATTTGTTGTGTAGATGGCATATTGGTAAAAATATGCTTGCTAATTGTAAAAAGATGTTTGAGACAAAGGATAAACGGAAAATGTTTCTAATGAGTTTGAATATGTTGGTTATGTCATCGTCTGAAGTAGTGTACATGCAACGACTATCTTTGTTACATAGTGAGTTTAGTACTTATCAAGATGCACTTCATTTACCTCGTCTTGGTTGGATACATACAAGTCAAAATTTGTGGTTGCTTGGATTGACACATTTATGCACTTTGGAAATTCTACAACAAATAGGTAAATACGAACATTTAAATTTTTTAGTTGTTTAGTTTTTTATAACATTATTTTTATAACAATTTATTTTCATGTATAGGGTTGAGAGTTCACATGCAAAACTTAAAAGATATCTTGGATCAAGTCAAGGAAATTTTGAGTCGAATTGGACAAGGATACACAATTTACTTGAGTTGCAACATAGTGAAATAAAATCATCATTTGAGAAAAGCAAGATAGTTGTGCAACATGATTTCAAACTTGTGCAGTTTAAGGAGCTTCGTGGTAATGTCTCAATTACTGCATTAGAGATCATATTGGCAGAGTCCAAATGAGCACCTTCTATTGGTATTGATATTGCTGCATGTGGATGTGTCATTCAACGTACTCATGGTTTGCAATGTGCACATGAGATAGCAGATTACATGAGGGAAAATTGGCTAATTCCCCTCACTTCGGTTCATTCATGTTGGACTAAGCTTGATATGTTGAGAACCCCGCACACTGTAAGTGAAGAGTGGACTTGTACACCTGAGTTAGAGTTGTTTGCCAAACGATTCGAGGAGGTGGATCCAAATGTGAAGAGGTTTTTATCACAGAAATTAAGGGAGTTAGCGAAACCTAATTGTACATTTTTTATTGAGCCAGAAGTGAAGTCTAATCCACAGGGTCGGCCAAAATTGAAGATTAAGACCTCCACTCGACGTGAGCCATTTGTGTTTGAACTAGTTACTTCAGCACAAGATAGTTATTCACTCGGAGTCATTGCCAAGGCGAATGTAACAACAAAAAAAGTGAAAACAAAGAAGACAGAAAAGGTACGTGGTTTAGTAGCAAGGTATGTAATTGTGTCATGTTGTTTACTTTATTGTCTAACATTGGCATTGAGCTGTGATAGGTTCACCGCTTCGATCATTGAATCCAAATTGTTTTGTAGAGGCATCCCCTTCAAAATTGAGACGATATATTAAATACGTTAAGGATGTTGTAGCAGATGGCAATTGTGGGTTCCAAGTTATTGATGGTTTGATGTGTTTTAGAGAAGAAAGATGGTTACAAGTTAGAAAAGATTTACTTAAAGAGTTGCATGCTCATAGTGACCACTACATGAAATTATTTGGATCACAAGAGAAAATCGATGACCTTACCAATATCTTGGCATATTTGGAACCAAAACCTGGGTTGGACTGATGGATGACGATGCTTGACATGGTTCATCTTATATCATCATTCTACCAAGTCGTTTTGGTCCACTTGTCTACGTAACAATGTTTGGCATTCCTCCCTCTTAGGTCAATATTGACGTTTGTTGCCTCTTGTAAGGAGATATGTATTGGCTTTGTCGACAACAACCATTTTGTTCAAGTATTAGTTTCTAATATTTTGTACATTATAATATTTTTATACATTCTTGTACATTCTAACGACAACATTTCTTAATAATGTCAACATTTTTGTACATTCTAATATTTTTAAATTTTTTAAAAATATATATATATTTTGTGTAGCTCATTTTGGAGCCTGGTCATCCTATTCCACCCATAGCAACTAACTTGTGGAGATACCATAACCCTTGTATAGTAGGCTGGGAGGTTTGCATACAGTTCCATAGTACAACATTTCAAATGAAATAGAATTAGAATGGATTTAAGTTATGTTATTTTCTTTGTTATACTGAATTAGAATGGAAAAGAGTGAATTGGAATGAATTGAAGTTATGTATTTTGAATGGATTTAAGTCATGGTATTTTCTTTGTTATAATAAATTGGAATGGTAAACAGTAAATTGAAATGGATGTTATTTTTTGTGTTATGCTGAATTGAAGTTGACGAAAAAAGTGAATTGGAATGGATTCAAGTTACATAGTTGTGAACAAATTTTGTTTGGACATATAGTGTTGACAAGATCACTATTGTTCGACAAAACAGTTATGAACAAAGTATATTTGTTTGGCCATACAGTGTTGAACAAATTGTTTTTATTCGATTACATAGTGCTGAAATGATTAGGCCAGCAACTGTGATTAGGCCAGCATGCATTTATGTTCGGCACTACAATACTGAAAAAAACCATATTTGTTCGGCATCGCAGTCCTAAACGAAGACTACCTGTTCAACATTACAGTGCCAAGTGAGTCATTTTGATTCGGTTTTACAGTGCTAAACGAGAAGGATTTGTTCGGTTAGTCAGTGATGAACATAAAATTCCTGCTTATTCATTAGTCGAGATTTGTTTATTCAGTGATGACCATAAAGCAATAAACAAACCAATATTTCAAACAAACAAACTATCAAACCAATTCAAATCATCAAACCAATTCCAAACAAATTCATTGACTTCAATATCATTGCTAAACCATCAAACACCATCAAAATAATTCACTGAGTGCACAAAAAGGTATGGTAAAGTCATATACAAGCTTAGCTCATACTTGTATCATATACAAACCACCATCAAAATGTATGCCAAAAACATTTCTCAGAAAAACTAATATATACTAAAGTGTTATCTGAACTTTGTTATACTTGTGTCTAACATATAATGAAGTCTAACATATGTTTGAGACTAAGATTTCAAAATGCACATTTAAACATTTAAAGCCAACATATACTAAAGTCTAAGATGTTGCTCCACGTTTTGTGTGACAAGTGTACACCAAGTTCTCTGATAGTGTATGTTCTTCAGTGGATTGTTGGCCAACCAAGACTTGTGTTATCTACTTCATAGCATTGCGTAACATATCTCGGGTGTGAGCTGCTTCATTGTATCCAATTTTGTTCATTGAATGTGAAATGCTCAAGGCACTGTCAATGCGCTGCAAACAAGAAAATAAAACTTCATAATTGCCTTAAACAAAATAAATATGAAAAATGAAAAGGTTAAAAGTTGACATACGAATTGAAGCTGACGATAATCAGCTGATGTCTCAGTGCGTGGGTTATACTTAGAACGATGTGTCGAGTTTTGAACTTGCATGTGTGAAATGGAAGTAAACTAGTCCAAGTAACATGGCACACAATCTCATGGATGCAAGACTAAAACACTAGGCGCCATCTCAGACAACAAGTGATTTTCCCAACTCTCCTAAATTGTGTCCAAGTATTTATAGGCAATGCTGTACTGTTTTGCTGTGGATCCTCTAAAGGCTCGAACTGGAGCAAGCGAAGGTGAGGGAATAGTTTTCACCTTGCCAAACTATCTCAGCACCTTATTCGAATGGTATGGTTGAACAATGTGCATACATTTTAAGCATCCACTACAGTAAGCAACATCAGAAAAAGGATGCTCAATACAATTATCATGGTATGGATCCCAAATAACCTACAATAGTCAAAAATTTATATGTAAGTTATGAATTAGGTTGAATAATAGCAAGTAATATGTACATACATGGAGTTAAGATTGACACTTACATCATGGGCCTCTAATTTGTCAAGATCCTCTCACAACCTTTGTAAAATAGACGTTGACGAACCAGATTGGGTGCGAGAAATCCAATGAAAGACACAAGGTTGATCTTTTTTATAGTCCAAATTGGGGTAGGGTCTAGTACCAACAAAATTCTCATAAATCCAAGCTTCCAGCAATGTCATGTATCCTGCCATCTGTTTCACGGAATACCTTACGGCAGTACACAATTGTCGGTATAAAAAAGCCAATGCGGCTGCACCCCAAGTATAAGAAGCAACTTATCACAAATCCATAAAAAAAGACAAATACATTACTAGAACACGTGTACCAGTCTTGGCTGCAAATAAGGTACAACCTAACAAATATAACAAATATGCTGTAGCTGTACACTCAATGGTATTATCATTGTCTGCATCAGACACTGACCCAAACCATTGTCTCAACCATTCTACCTTGATAGACTGGCCCCGTGCTACCTTCAACACTACATTTGCCTCATCTACTGTTACTCCCAAAGCCTTAACTAGCAGATTTGCAGTGTCAACATTTGATTACTTCTTGCAAGAGATAGATTTACCAATAACTGGAATCCCTAGAATTACACTAACATCATCTAAGGTTGGTGACAACTCACCAAATGGTAGATGAAACGTGTTTGTCTCTAGCTGCCATCTTTCCACAAAGGTCGAAACTACAACTTTGTTTACAAATTTATATGAGCAACTCACTAAAGAAATCAACCTCGAATCCATAATTAAACCATCAAATTTGGACTGTTCATTTTCTTCCAATTTGAATGATCATTCACCAACTTTAAAACCATGATTTAAGCATTTAAGTATTCCTTGTTCTTGCAACATAGAATAAAAAAATAAAAAAAAAGAATTAGTAAAATTGAAACAAAATTTAAAACATTAAATTAATGTTAGACAATGACTTACATCATTATGCCAAATTTTTGCTGCTCCGTGACAATGAAAACTCTTCAAAATTGAAGGATCCTCTAGCCCTCCAAGAAAAGGTCCAGTAAGATCTTCATTAACTTTTTCAGTTGTATCTACTGGTTGGTCTTCATAGTCACCCATGTGTATTGGTTTATCACCCGAATCATCACCTATATTTGTTGGTTCATCACCCGGATCATCACCCAATTTATCACCATGTCACTGACATTCAATTGATTGCCCCTATCATTTTCAACCTCAACTATTTTTGCTAGACCAGCACGTATGTCATTCATGTCCTGTTCATTAACTCCACTACTTTGATCCTTAGTCTTATGAGTGCCTCGAGGTCGCTTAGCCACTTTTTTGAGAAAGTACAACATTACGTCTCCTAGACGTTGTTGGGCGATCTAGAGCAATTTCCACCATAGTGTAGACATCCCATTGTTAACCATCCTTAAAACTTAGGCACCTCATGGTGAACACTCAATGATGAATTAGCACGTTGTGCAAACGTTCAATTTCCTCAACAAAAGGCTTCGGTTTTCCAACTTCAGAGCCCAAACCTTGTACCCCTTTTGAACCAAAACCCAATTTTTTTCTAGCCTGACCACTCAAAGGCCTGCTAGCCAATACGTGGCCAGCAGGCCAATTTTAGTAGTCGGTCGTCTCCTTTCATGGCTGGTCGACCATGTTTCCCGACAGACAGATATTTGCTGCTAGTTGTCCCCCACATGTGCATGCCTTGTACCAGCTGGCTCCATGCAGATATTTCTGACTGATGAACCTATTTTTCTATAAATAGGTGACTAACCCTCATGGTTTTAGGTTAGAAAATTTTCCAAATGCCAAAAACTTGCAAAACACTCTCCCTCCCTATCTTACAATAAACGTACACTTCCTAAACCAAAAATTTGAAGCTCCTTGCTAAGATTATTGAGCCAAAATTTCAGCTTTTGAGAGTGAACACTTTGTGGTT